TGTAAATCTTTTGATTTCTCCATCGAATCTGAATGAGATCCTTGCTGAGTTGAGTAATCTTGGTTGTAGGTTCTTCCCTTTCATCACTTTAAGTATATCATGCCACTCCCTTCTGGCTTGTAGAGTTTCTGCTGAGAAATCAGCTGTTAACCTTATGGGAGTTCCCTTGTATGTTATTTGTCGTTTTTCCCTTGCTGCTTTCAATAATTTTTCTTTGTCTTTAATTTTTGCCAATTTGATTACTGTGTGTCTTGGTGTGTTTCTCCTTGGGTTTATCCTGTATGGGACTCACTGTGCTTCCTGGACTTGGGTGGCTACTTCTTTTCCCTTGTTAGGGAAGTTTTTGACTATAATCTCTTCAAATATTTTCCCTGGTCCTTTCTCTCTGTCTTCTCCTCTGGGACCCCTATAATGCGAATGTTGTTGCATTTAATGTTGTCCCAGAGGTCTCTTAGGTTGTCTTCATTTCTTTTCATGCTTTTTTCTTTATTCTGTTCTGCAGCAGTGAATTCCACCATTGTCTTCCAGGTCGCTTTTCTGTTCTTCTGCCTCAGTTATTCTGCTATTGATTCCTTCTAGTGTAGTTTTCATTTCAGTTATTGTGTTGTTCATCTCTGTTTGTTTGTTCTTTAATTCTTCTAGGTCTTTGTTAAACATTTCTTGCACCTTCTTGATCTTTGCCTCCATTCTCTTTCCAAGGCCCTGGATCATCTTCACTATCATTATTCTGAATTCTTTTTCTGGAAGGTTGCCTATCTCCACTTCATTTAGTTGTTTTTCTGGGGTTTTATCTTGTTGCTTCATCTGGTACATAGCCCTCTGCCTTTTCATCTTGTCTATCTTTTCTGTGAATGTGGTTTTTGTTCCACAGGCTGCAGGATTGTAGTTCTTCTTGCTTCTTCTGTCTGCCCTCTGGTGGATGAGGCTATCTAAGAGGCTTGTGCAGGTTTCCTGATGGGAGGGACTGGTGGTGGGTAGAGCTGACATTGCTTTGGTGGGCAGAGCTCAGTAAAACTTTAATCCGCTTGACTGTTGATGGGTGGGGCTGGGTTCCCTCTCTGTTGGTTGTTTGGCCTGAGGCAACCCAACACTGGAGCGTACCTGGGCTCTTTGGTGGGGCTAAGGACAGACTCTGGGAGGGCTCATGCCAAGTATTACTTCCCAGAACTTCTGCTGCCAGTGTCCTTGTCCCCACGGTGAGCCACAGCCACCACCCCTCCCGCCTCTGCAGGAGACCCTCCAACACTAGCAGGTAGGTCTGGTTTAGTCTCCCCTGGGGTCACTGCTCCCTCCCCTGGGTCCCGATGCACACACTGCTTTGTGTGTGCCCTCCAAGAGTGGAGTCTCTGATCCCCCCAGTCCTGTCAAAGTCCTGCAATCAATTCCCACTAGGCTTCAAAGTCTGATTCTCTAGGAATTCCTCCTCCTGTTGCCAGATCCCCAGGTTGGGAAGCCTGATGTAGGGCTCAGAACCTTCACTCCAGTGGGTGGACTTCTGTGGTATAAGTGTTCTCCAGTCCGTGAGTCACCCACCCAGCAGTTATGGGATTTGATTTCACTGTGATTGCACCCCTCCTACCGTCTCATTGCGGCTTCTCCTTTGTCTTTGGATGTGGGGTATCTTTTTGGTTAGTTCCAGTGTCTTCCTGTCGATGACTGTCCAGCAGCTAGTTGTGATTCTGGTGCTCTCGCAAGAGGGAGTGAGAGCACGTCCTTCTACTCCGCCATCTTGGTTCCTCTCCCTGGTCTACTTTAATACAGTCCTATCCTGAGGCCAGGGAAAGGGGAGTATAGACAGATGACAAGGATGACACCAATGATAATGACCTAAGTTTGTAAACAAGGGACAACATGCTTTCCTACACATGATCTCCCTTGATCCTTACACCAGCTCTTTGAGGTAGATGGCACAACTGCTATTATTCCTATGTTATAGGTGAGGAAGGTGAGGCACAGAGACGGTAAATGGCTTGCTTAAGATCGCACAGCTAGTGAGCTTAGAACGGGGAAGAACTAAGGGGATTCTGATACTCCAAGTCTGCTGCTTTTTCTGTTACATCCTGTTTATAAAGATGCCCTTTCAGAGTCCTTTCTGGCCCTGTCATGTTCCAAAGCCCATGAGTGTCCCACAGGAGCCTGGCCAGCCATGGCTGTCACCCTCTTAGGGAGCCAGCCACATCTCCAGGTCTGTGGGTGAAGCATCATTGGAAGGGCTTCTGTCCAGTTTACTTGGGGAAGGAGCTTGCAGTTGGACACACACCAACCTACTGCCTCAGGCTCTTCATCCGGATCCAGGTTTGTCCTAAAAATAGCACACATAGGCAGAGCAGTTGGAGACCTGAGTTGTTAACTGGGGAAATCAGAAAGCTGGACCTAAGAATTCTGTGTTTCTTGCCCACCCTCACCCCTCCTGATACTCAAACATGTCCTCCTGTGATGTTCCAGCCCGTGAAACAAACCTGCAAGTACTGCACCGAGCAGAACATCCCCTTCCCCAAATATGAGGTGCAGGAGGAGGAGGATAACCTCAAGGAGTGCTACCTGATGGAGAGCTCCCAGGAGCCCGATGCCCCCACTGTGATTTTCTTCCCACTCATCAGTGACACCTTCCAAAAGTACAAGGCCCCAGGTAAGCCGCCGGGAGCTCAGGTCGCACCCAACTGGCCTTGGACGGAGAGCTCCTGTTCTTAGACGTGTGCAGTCTTCTGACAGCACTAACAGGAAAGCCTGGCATAGCTCCTGTCTGAGCCCAACTTGGCTTCGGCGAGAAAGAACGGCCCCCCGTGCCCCCGTGCACCGGCGATGTCAAGCTCTACTCTTTCAGTCATTCACAGCCTGGCGCTGTGCGGTGCCAGGGACGTCCTGAGATGGGCAAGCTATGTCCCTTGCCATGGTGGGCTAGGAGGTGTGCGTGCGCATCTGCGTGTGTGAGTGTGCACATGGGCACGTTTTATTGTGGGTGTGCAGGGGTGGGCCTCGGGGAGAGGGGTAGAAACAAACCATTACAACCTCACGTGATAAGGGGCTACAGCAAGTCCTTCTGCTCCTCCAGGTGTGGAGCGAAGCCCCGAGGAGCTGGAGCAGGGCCAGGTTGACATCTATGGTCCCAAATCTCCCTACGCCACCAAGGAGCTGACGTACACAGAGGCCGCCTTCGACAAGCTGGTGAAGCTCTCCGAATATAACATCCTGAATAACAAGGACAAGCTCCTTCAGGCCTTGCGACTAGCAGTAGAGAAGAAGAAACGCCTGAAGAGTCAGTGTCCCCCTAAAGTCCCAGGACACTCGTAAAGAGTCCCCCCTAAAGTCCCAGGGCAGTCCTGTGTCTGCTTCTAGCATCAGAGGTGCAGAACCCAGGGCTGACCGGCCCTCAGAGCCAGCTCCGCTGTCTAGCAAGGGCTGCAGGCAGGCTGGCCTGGGCTTTCTATCAAAAAAATTAAAATTAAAAAAAAAAAAGGTTGAAGGAGAAAGAGAGACAAAGGAAAATAACAAAGGGATGTAATGGGGCTTTATACCCACTGGAATTTTTTTTTAAACACCTTTATTGGAGTATAATTGCTTTACACTGTTGTGTTAGTTGCTGCTGTATAACAAAGTGAATCAGCTATATGTATACATATATCCCCATATCCCCTCCCTCTTGCGTCTCCCTCCCACCATCCCTATCCCACCCCTCTAGGTAATGACAAAACACCGAGCTGATCTCCCTGTGCTATGCAGCTGCTTCCCACTAGCTATCTATTTTACATTTGGTAGTGCATATATGTCCATGCCACTTTCTCACTTCGTCCCAGCTTCCCCTTCCCCCCCCAGTGTCCTCAAGTCCATTCTCTATGTCTGGGTCTTTATTCCTGTCCTGCCCCTAGGTACATCAGACCTTTTTTAGATTCCATATATATGTGTTAGCATACACGTATATTTTGTTTTTCTCTTTCTGACTTACTTCACTCTGTATGACAGACTCTAGGTCCATCCACCTCACTACAAATAGTTCAATTTCATTTCTTTTTATGGCTGAGTAATATTCCATTTGTATATGTGCCACATCTTCTTTATCCATTTGTCTGTTGATGGACACTTAGGTTGCCTCTGTGTCCTGGCTATTGTACATAGTGCTACAATGAATATTGTGGTACATGTCTCTTTGAATTATGGTTTTCTCAGGGTATATGCCCAGTAGTATACCCACTGGAATTTTTTTTAAACCTTCCCTGCAGGGAAGGGGATCCAAGAGCCACAGGCTCCCACACATGCCTGAAGTGTGGAGAATAATAGCATGGCCCAATTTTATGGCTGGTTCCCCAGAAACCTCGGATTCGGAGCTGGAACTCAAAGCCCTCCCCTCACTACTCCTCTCTGCTCAGGAAATGCGCAAGAGGACCTGAGAAGCATTCTGGGTTCTCTGGAAAAATGCTTTTTAATTTTTTTTATTTCTGAAGGTGGTCTTTATTTTTTTAATTTTTTTAACATCTTTATTGGAGTATAATTGCTTTACAATGGTGTGTTAGCTTCTGCTTTATAACAAGGTGAATCAGCTATACATATACATATATCCCCATATCTCCTCCCTCTTGCGTCTCCCTCCCACCCTCCCTATCCCACTCCTCTAGGTGGTCACAAAGCACAGAGCTGATCTCCCTGTGCTATGCGGCTGCTTCCCACTAGCTGTCTGTTTTACATTTGGCATTTGGTAATGTATATATGTCCATGCTACTCTCTCACTTCGTCCCAGCTTACCCTTCCCCCTCCCCGTGTCCTCAAGTCCATTCTCTATGTCTGCGTCTTTATTGCCGTCCTGCCCATAGGTTCTTCGTAACCATTTTGTTTTTTTTTTTTAGAATCCATATATATGTGTTAGCATACGGTGTTTTTCTCTTTCTGACTTCAAATGCTTTTTTAAATTTAATGCAATTGTATTCTTGTGATTTTTATAGGCAATTGTATTTTGTGATTTTTATTTTTATGAATCAGCTTATTAATAGGAAGCATAATGCTTGAAGATCTAGATGGAGCACTAGAGACATCCTGGTCTCTTCAACAACAAACACAAACAGGTGATGGGGTTTCAGCAGCCCCTCTGCAACCACTTAAAGGCCGAGGACAAGTGATCCCTTTTATCCCCACTGGGCAGCCTCGACTGAGCATCCAGCTCCGGCGAAATGCCAGGCAAAGCCCAAGTCTGCAGCTCCAGTTCACCAAACAAGGATCTGGGATGCAGCTCTGGGACGTCTGGGCAGGTACATGAGGCATCAGGTGAGTGATGCTGCCTGGTGCCACCACTCCACAGGGCCACCACTCGCTGACCAACCTGCTCCAGAGGCACTTCTCCAACCCTAACCCTCCTCTCTGGTTTCCAGATGGTATTACTTATTTCTAAGCGGCATTTCTCTTATTTATTATGTAAACACCATGGCCAGAACATCCCAACTCTTGAAGAGTCACCCTGAGATAACAAAACTGGAAAGGATCAACCCAGAAAGGACTAGGTTAACCCTGAGGGAAATGCTCATCTTTGGAGATGGTTTCCAGATGAATCTCTGGGAAAGCCCTGGGACACAGAAGCTCGAAGTATCCACATCTCCCATCAGGCTGGGAACTTAACTAAAGAAATGTGTAGGACTTCCCTGGTGGCGCAGTGGTTAAGAATCCGCCTGCCAATGCAGGGGACACGGGTTCGAGCCCTGGTCTGGGAAGATCCCACATGCGCGGAGCAACTAAGCCCATGCGCCACAACTGCTGAGCCCACGTGCCACAACTACTGAAGCCCACGTGCCTAGAGCCCCTGCTCCACAAGAGAAACCACCGCAATGAGAAGCGCACGCACCACAACGAAGAGTAGCCCCCCCGCTCTCCACAGCTAGACAAAGCCCTTGCACAGCAGTGAAGACCCAATGCAGCCAAAAATAAATAAATAAATTTATTTTTTTAAAAAAAAGAGAGAAATGTGTAACCTGAGCCATTGAGATGCCTGTGCTGATGGAAGGCGTGACCAGAAAGGCATGTGGTCTACATGAAGCCCAGCAAACCTGGAAGACATGGCCCTCTCTGGGCCACCATGTTCCCTAAGCAGTCCTTTGGATGTTAGGAGATGTGTGGTGACAGGTGTCAAAAGTTTACCAAAATTGTCCTCTGATTTACATCCTTGCTACCCAAAGTGTGGTGGGGAACTGGTTAGAAATGCAGAATCTCAGGCTGCACCCCAGCCATACTGAGTTCAGAATCTGCATTTTAAGGAGATTTTCACCTCCTCTCCACTGCCCTCAGGTGATGCTTATGCATATTAAAGTCTGAGAAGAGAGGGTTTATGCCATGCTCACTCATAAGCTGGAAAGCATGAATCCATCACTTCCCCTGAGCCACTGATAAACTGGGCTCCTGGACCTGCAAAGCTGGTCCCCACCCAGGGAATGCTGACTTGGGACCCCACCCTGCTCCAGCACCAGAGCAGCCAGCTGCCTCCACTTTGCCATCTTTTCTTTCCATCTGCAAGAAACGGGTTCTCCTAAAATGATCAGAGTGAGCCACTGGGTAAGACCTGGGTGTTTATTGTAAGGTGAAGGCAGCCCTGCCTTGGATTCATCGAAGTATGTAAAACGAGGTTTATAAAATCATTGTATTTTTTGAGCACAGAATAAACTGGCCACGCGGGTAAACGCTGTTGACTCACCAGCTTTCATCACCTGGTGCTGCAAACCCTGCATAACTCCTGCCCTCATCCCTGCCGGGGCTTCCCACACGCACGGCCAGAGGTGCGAGAAGGCTGTTTTCGTCCCCGCCCTCCTCTCCTCCCGCAGGGGTTCCCCCTTTCTTGTGTGGCGGGGTGCCCCTCTGTTTTTGTGAAGCCGCGGCAGCGACTAGTGGAGCACCAGCCCTTGCTGACTTATGCTGTTTGAAGCTCAGATGGTTTTCACGAAGCACTAATTGACGGAGAGGAAGGAAGGGCGGCCAGCATCAGCCTAGCACCTACCTGATATACAGCAGTCTGTGAACAGCCTGTGCTTTCCAGGAACTTAGATTTGGGTTGGGGGGTAAAACATGAAAAGATTTGTATATAGACTCGAGAAGTTAAATAGTGACTTAGCTTCTAAAACAGTGCTGGCAGTGTCACAGAGCAGGGGATGAGTAAGGGCCACACAAGGGATAAGGACAAAGTGTCATCAGCTCCGAGAGGGGCAAGAGCATAGGGTCCTGGGGAGGACAGAGAGGCTCCCGCCTCAGGTTCCCTGCTCTCTGCCTATAACATGATTTAATAGAAAAATTAAATAAAACTCCTTTCTCCCCCAATGTCCCTCCCTCCCTGTCTCCCCTTTCCTTCCTGAGAGCAGGCAGCACACCACACTGCCACACAGCCCAGTCACCCTGCCCCACAGTGGATGTTTTCTGCTCTTATGTCTCCATGAAAACACTTCTCCCCGAGGTCACCAATGCCCTCCTAATTGCCAATACACTGAGCCAAATGGCACCAGCCCTTTACAGGCCTTATCTTACTCGATTGTTCACCACCTTTGGCCCTGCAGACCACTCTCTCCTTCCTGAAACCCTCCCTTCCCATGACTTGCTTGCCAACAGCAAGCAGTTCAATTCAGTTCTGCTTGCAAATATTTATTGCCTTCCCACTACATGCCAGTCACTGCTGTAGGCACTGGGACAACAAAAAAAAGGATGAACAATTGACCCCACACTTCAAGGAGCTTCCTTCTGGTCCCATGCAGGAGACCTCCATGGAAACAGAGGCTTGCAATAGAAGTTCCATATTAGCTGTGTACACAGGGGCACACGTTAGGGGCTGCCAACCCAGCCCTAGAGGGAAGGGGCCACATGTGCTTGGACATTTTCAAGCCTCTTCCCTGGCTTCACCTCCCCTCTCTCCTTTAACTGCTAGTATTCCTTGAGGCTCTTTGCTTAGCTCTCCCCCCTTCTCACTCTATACTCTCCTTAAGCAATCTCATCTACACCCAGGTCTTCTACTACTGCTTCTATTTTGAAAACTTGCAACGCTTTAGTTCTAGCCAAGGTAATGTCCTAAGTTCTTGATTCATGTATTCAAATTCTATATCAGTTAACATTGCTTTTGCTACATAACCAAAAAGGATCTAAAGAGGCTTAAACAAGACAGAAGAAGTTTATTTTTCTATTTCTTATCAGAGACCCAGGCTCCTTTCAGCTCTTGCTTCTGCCATCCTCAAGTTTTCCTTCTGGTCCAATATGGCTGTTGGAGCTCCACCCATCATGCCCACATTCCAGGCAGCAGGAAGGATAAAGGGGTCTCAGCATATTTCATGTAGCATAATGTTTTCGAGGTTCATTGAGATTGTGACCTAAGACAGAATTTCCTTCCTTTTTACGGCTGAATAATATTTCATTGTATGTATATACACATATTTTGTTTATCCATTCATCCATCAATCGACACTTAGGTTGCTTCCACCTCTTGACTATTGTGAGTGGAGCTGCTATGAACATGAGTATGCAAATATGTCTTAGAGACCCTATCTTCAATTCTTTTGGATATATACCCAGAAATGGGATTGCTCGA